AAGGATGGGCTGGGGCTCCTGAGAGCAGCAGGGAACCCATCTCAGCCCTGCCAGGTGCAGGGCTGCTCCTCAGGCCCTGGTCCTGCTGGGTGCTCTGTGCTCGGGGGAGAATGGTGGGAATTGAACCAGTGCTGTGGAGAGCATTCAGCTCATGCTCTACCTGAGGAGGCTCATTTCTTACAAAAGTTTCTCTGTTATTACAATCCCTTTGTAATATCCTTTTGGGTAATTATCCTTTTTTTAATACAAAATTATCCTTTTTGAGTAATTGACTACATGGTGAGTGTTGAAGAATGGGAGGGATGAGTTTTCCATTTTTTGAAAAATCTCAAAGGAGATTTAACACTTTTATATAAAAATGCTAAGATTTTAAAGCAATTCCAAACATACATTTAATATATGAATAATTAAGCACCTTGTATGACTCCCAAAGCACTGGTTATGAGAAATGAACCATGCAAATGTACTCTCTCTCTGGTCTGGGCTTTTAAAGCTCAGAAACCCCACTTCTGCTATGCCTACAGATCAATGATGAAATAAGCTGAAAATGTGCTACTCCTTCTGCTGACATCTGTGCACCAAGACTGATACCAATCCTTCAACTATTCAGTTACTTTCTGCTATTCGGTGCATTCCTAGATCAATCCTTTCTAAAAATATCTATATTTTTACACAAGGAAAGGGTTAATTATTACCCATATACCAAAGTGTTCAAAGAAAATTGCCTCAGTTTATGCTGTTAAGCCATACTAACATCTGTTTAAACCTATTGTAAAATCAGCTCAGTGCCATTTCATTGCAGGTTAAGATCCAACTTACTTTACCATGAATGCTTTGCTGAAATGCTGCTTTTACTGACAATACCTGGCCTTGCAGGTCATCTAGGAATATAGCTTTGAGAAAGACAATTTAGACAATTTAGAAAGACACTTCTGCTTACTGTCATTGCATCCACCAAGTAGCTAAAAGTCTAGCAAAAAGGAGAAACAGAAAACATTGCTCTAAACTTTGTGGCCATCCTGTAATACATGATTTTATTTGTGTCTGTTGAAGGAATATCTTTGAGTAATTTTGACAACTCAAGTAGTTTTTCTTAAAAACAAAAATCAAAAGATCTCTTTATCAGGCTAATACTAATGCTTTCATTTTTTATTAAGACCAAGCCACATAGAAATTAGGGAGCACAATCAACCTTGTTTATTACTACCTCTGCCTACATATGGTGATATTAAGACACCTTGAGATATGACTGAGGAAGTAGATAAATAACACACTTTTAACACACAGAGGACCTCAGTTCAGTTTGGTCATCTGTTTCCTGGTACAATGAAATTACAGTTGCATTTTTTAGCTGAGGTCTGCCTTTCCTTCTTTATTACTTTTGCATAACAAAATAATTTTCTTTCCTCTCTTATGTCCCATTAATTTCTCTCTGGACAATTGCATTTCTCTTCAGTGGAACTTAGGATGGTACAGCTGTCATTGAAGGAACTGGAGCTACAACACACTTGTACTGCCAACAGCTCAAAGTCAGTAACCAATTACATGCATTCAAAAACACATTCCTTCAAAAGCCTCCAGATTCTAATCCTAATGAAACCTTACAACACTCAAAGCAGCAGTTTGTTAATGTACCAGTCATTCTCAAAGAACCTTGCTCTCTTTGGATGTGTGTACAACCTGCTACTCTTTCTATCTTCTGAGCAATGAAATCAGGACACGTTCACCAAAGCGTGCACCAGAGTCTGCCCTGAGCAATCGGATCCCTCTCACCTCAAGCAGGCTCTGTTTCTTTTTCCCCGTACAACACACGCTGGCCACAAGAACTACAAAGCTTGTGGCTTTAGCACATTGTCCCCAAATCAATGACTACAGGGAGAGGAAAAGAATGAGCTTCTGACTGCTCCAACAAGAGCCTTATTTCCACCTGTTAGACAACATCTCTGCCTATCAGCACAGTCCAACAGAGAAGAGCAGACAGACTATATTTCAACTATTCAAAACTTTATTTAACAATGAATTGATCAAAAATGAAACTATATACAGGAAGAACTATATACATAAAGAAACAAGTATCTACACTCCCTATAGTCCAAGATCCATCTGAGTCGGTCCTGAGAAGCAGAAGCACTCATATATAAATGGGATGGTACAGATCTGGAGTAAGTTCCACCCTGCAGGTTGGGCACACGCCGATAGTCTCCACGGCAACAGGGAGGCACTCGCTGCAGAAGACATGGCCACACATGGTTGCCACAATCAGTCGTCCACTTTGCAAAATCTAGAGGAAAGAAAATCACATGTATTGAGAAGAAAGAATTTGATTTTGCTGCTCTATTAGCACCAGGCAAATGAGATTTAAAGCATCTGGAGTAAAAATTACAAGGGACTACCAGATCTGCCAGTTTCACTTCACCAAGAAGTGACTTGCGGAGCTTCACAGCAAGGGCTGTGCTTCCAGCCAGCTGACCACAGCACCCCACATCACCCAACTGACTTGTGCAGCTCCCCTTCTGGCTTTCTCCTCCCACAAAGCAGAAAGGACCATCACAGGTGGATCCTTACCTCTGAGTAAGAATCCATGCAAATGGGACAACTAATGACAACTCCTTGCTGTGCACTAGAGGAAACAGAAGTAGAAAGAACACGCAGCTTTTAAGATCAGCACACTTCAATGGTTATTGATACATAAAATCTCACACAATCATGCAACTGCACTGACAAGCCATGACACATCTCCTCTGAAGGACCCTGCTGTCTTTAAGTCTCTGTGTGCTGCATTTAATGAGGATTTGGGGTCTCCCTGTCCTGAGGTATCCTGGTTTCACTAGAAGAAAGATGTAGTCAGTCACCAAGCTCTGGGATTTGATGCAAGTAATCCCCCTTCCTTGCCATACCCCCACACTCATCACTCAGGTTCTGTGCAAAGTTGTACATCTGCTCTGGGCTGCCTTTTTCTCCCAAAATGCAAATGGTATCATTTGATCATCATACAACATGGGAGAAGGAGGGAAATCCATAGTGTATGGGAAGGCCTCAAAGATAAACAAGGCATAGCAGTTTAACTTAGTCCTATGCAGAAAACAAAAAAAGGTGAAAAATTTCACATTTGGTAGGGCATGAGGCATACATACTCTGAAAGTGAAGTTCCCGCCACTGCTGCTCCCTGTTCTGCAGGGGCTGAGTCAGCCTCAGGTGCATCATTAGCTCCTGTTCCATTACCAGAGCCATCCACCTGTTCCTGGCTGTTCAGTGTAACATTTCTCCTTTCTTGTTCATGCACTGTAATTTAATTTTCAGAAGTTAGATCTATTATTCTCTCTCTCCCTGGAGCTACCCTTGAAATGAGTTATATAAATAGTCAGCAATGGTTCCAATTTTAAATGGACTCTATTCAGCTGGGTTAAAAACAATCCTAAACAAGCTTCTTTCCCAAATACTAAGACTGGACTTGTCCAGACATTGTGACTCCTCTGCTACAAGACAACATAAAATATTTGCTCTGTTCAGCCTACACATAGCTGAAAAAGGTGACATAAGAGATACTCCTGGACAGTCCATGGAAACTATAAAATTACTTGAAGCAGCATACCCTTAGAAATTGTCATCATCTTCCTCCTTCATTAAGATAATTTGAGAATGGAGTTATTCTGCATTTTGCATCACATATATGTAAAAGATATCTGAAGGAAGGATGCTCTTTCTGTTCATATGTTGTTAGATCATTGCATCCTTTAGAGCCAAATTAGCCGGAAGGGAGATTTATTCCATTAAAGAGACAACAACTCACAAACACGATCTAAGTGATGCCCATGGGCAAATTCCTTGTTGGTAGAATTGCCTTGTTAAGGTTCAGGGCTTGACATGCTTCGAGGAGCTCAGACCCAGGGAAGGCTTAACAAAGCTTGGGGAGAAGGATGCCCACTGAAAGTGGACACAAAGGATGCAGAATTGAGGG